TCATTGTTTGCAGGAGGGGGCATGTTTATGTCCTCTATTTCTTTCTAATGGATAAAGTAGGTGATTGGAATCTTCTGTTTTGGACCATGCAGTACAAGGCTGCTAGAGTGACAGCATGGAACTGTCTCCTTCTCACAGCAACTCTAAGTCTTGGACAATTCCTTCAAGCCCTTTGGGCCTCAGGGTTCTTATGTGTAGGGGATTGAATGAGCCTCAGGGTTCTTATGTGTAGGGGATTGAATAGGCCTCACGGTTCTTATGTGTAGGGGACTGAATGAAGTACACCAAGGCCCCAGGCAATCTCTCAACTGCTTCGCTGAGAAAACCACTAGAAATCTCTAATGTATGTGTGCCATGAGGAGAAGATCTTGCTGTTTTACTCACTCTCACACTGTCAGTATTTGGAGAATATGGTCTCACAAAAGATCTGAGAAAGAAAGGCAGGAGTGGAATCTTCCCTAGAGTGAAGGACAGTCCATTTTATTGTCGAGGCAGTTGACTTTGTGGGTCCATCTCCCTTTGAGCACAAAGATTTCTATTTATAGGTGTTTATCAGCTCAAATAGTCAACACTTGGAACTCCTCAGACTTCTTAGGCGTTCATGACCCTAATCCAGCTCCATCCTTTACAGCAAGAGCTGTCTGGCATCGTTTGGTAGGTCCACCATGGGAAGGCGAGCACTCTAGTTTTTAAAGCACCAGGTAAAATTATGCAACATCATGGCTCCATCTGAGTGCCATGTTCTTCACTCTCAAAGAAGCAGCTAGTACTTCATTTTTCTGTAGGTGGAAGTTTCTGTCCCTCCAGCCAGCTCCCAAATAACCACACAGGGACTTATTAATTAAGATAGTTCATCCAATAGCTTAAGCTTGTTTCTAAGTAGCTCTTAAATTAACCCATTTCTGTTCATTTACTTTCTGCCTCATGGCTGTATTACCTCATCTCCTTAGTATCCATACGGCTTGCTCTGCGTCTCATGGCATCTCCTTGACGCCTCCCTTCTTCTTTCCAGCATTCTTTCTACCCCCAAAATCCTGCCTAGCTATTGACCATTTAGCTTTCTATTAAACCGATAATCTGAGTGACACTTCTTGACAGTGTATAAAAAAGATTGTTTCACATTATTCACGTGGATGGGGAAACTCAAATCACAGAGCATTCCTCCTTTTTGGCGCTCCTGACTTAAGTGCACCCTTCCCTGACGGGCACTTGCCAAGAGTAGACTCGTACCCACAGCCCTCTCCTGGCAGAACTGTGGGGAATTGAACCTTCCTCCCAGTGCTCTCAGGCCTCACCAGCTCTCCTGTCAACATAGATTTGTGAAGCTTGCCGTTGTGTTTCTGCCCTGCCTTTTCTCTCAAGATGATTGATATGGGGTGGGGTCTTTACGGCTAAATCGTACCTAGAATTAAAGAGTAAATGTGGACCCCGCCTTCAGCATTAAAAGCTGGTTGGTAATATCATCGATTTATAATTTATTGTAATGAGAGGGTGGTTTGGGGTTTTTTTGGTTTTTTTGTTTGTTTGTTTGTTTGTTTGTTTTTTTGGAAAGGTTTTACCACATACCCAGTCTGGCCACAAACTTGTGGTCCTCCCATCTCCCACGTACTGGGATTGTAGGAGCAGACCACCATGCCTGGCTAGCCTGGCTATTCATCCCCATGTCTTGATCTCTGCCTGTCTCCATCACATGCGAGCCTGGCTGAGATGGAACAGCAAACGGTCTAGATTCCCTCTTGAAATGGATTACGCCTTTCCTGAAATCGTAATGAAGTTCTCTCTGGGAGGCTTTGGTTTGCATTCTACACTTTGCCTTGTCAGGAAAACTGGTAATTTTAATAATAATATTGTAAAAATGAAGATATTTCTAAAACTTGAAATGAGGAAATTTAACATTGCCATAATCACTTACTTTCTAAATTTAGATAAAACTGATGATAAAATGACAATTTTTTTAGACAAAGAAAAGTTAGACTTTTAAGGCTACACCTAATTTTTCCTTAAATTGGAGTGTTGATACTATTCTGACTTTTTTTTTTTTAACCAAAGCTTTGACAGCAGGAAAGTAATTTAAAAAAAAAAAAAGGCAGTGGCCAAGGGGCCATCCTGATGGCTGCCAGAGTTTCTCATTTACTAACAAAACACAAACACAGAGAAGCTTAGCTACTTTTTGTGACTGAGATCTGAAAACATTTGATGACAATTGACTCTCGGCTGCCATGATGTCACCATCAAAAACCCATGACAGAGACTCTAATATTAGACTGCTAAATATAATCCGTTAGTTCTCAACTTATTTCATGGATTCAGGAAAACACAGTTGGTATTATGTAAGAAAGGAATTATGAAAATCGGTCTTCTCCAGTCTGTTGTTGGCAAGACAGCCTTTTTCTTTTCTTAATATATTGTGTGGGGTGTGAGGGGGGAATGTACACACATGGATGGGGGTGGATGGGGGTGCATACATGTGTGGGTGTGAATGCGTGTGTGTGCCTGTGCATACACAACGGCATTTTTGTGGAGGTCAGAGGGCAGCTTTCAGAGGTCAGTTCTCTCTGTCCGTCGTAGGTTCTAGAGGTCGGATTCAGGTTGTTGGATTTAACGTTATAAGAGAAACTGGTTGTCTCAGTCTTAGTAGATAGAAAAGGATAATTATGTAGCTAATTCTGTCTAGTATAATCACTAGAACTTAGCCAGACTCCTAAAAGTATTTTAGGAGCAAACATTGAGTCAAGGAAGGTTTGGGTGGGTCACCAGAACACTGACTGTGGTTAGTTCTTCATGAACCTTAGTTAAGTAGTCCTCGGAGAAATGTGACCTCATCCTACACCCAGGTAGCTAGGCAGAGGGTAGCCATTTTAAATCCTCTCTAGAAGGGACAGCCCTTGTGGTACAGTATCTTTGTTAAGAGTTTGTCCTTTGGAGAAAAGGGCCTCTCTGAAACAATTTAGCATCTAGGTAAGACAGAAAGGGCTAACTTAGTGTTCTGTGCTCGGGAGTGTGGACCCACTATACATAAAGCGCCTTCATTTTGAAAAGTCTTACTTTGCCCTCTCAGAATCCTATGTGGAATCTCTAGTAGGCTTCCATACACAGCCCTAGCCACATGTACTTACTTCGTGAATTCAGGAGAAGCTATTGACATTGTCTTGGGCCATCTTCTGTCGCTGTAACAGAATAACCCAGACTGGGTAATTTATTAAGAATACATAAATCCCGCCGGGCGGTGGTGGCGCACGCCTTTAATCCCAGCACTCGGGAGGCAGAGCCAGGCGGATCTCTGTGAGTTCAAGGCCAGCCTGGTCTCCAAAGCGAGTTCCAGGAAAGGCACAAAGCTACACAGAGAAACCCTGTCTCGAAAAACCAAAAAAAAAAAAAAAAAGAATACATAAATATATTGCATAACTATATGTATATGCATATATGTAGTCTATGAAGTTTATTTTGGTTATGGTTTTGGAAATTGAGAAGTATTTGGTGAAGCCTTCATGCAAAACGTGGGAAGAGACCAGACTTGGAAGCGAGGCACACTGGAAGGAGTGCTGTGGGATGTTCTGTATGGCAAATGTGTTGCTGATTGGTCAATAAATAAAACACTGATTGGCCATTGGCTAGGCAGGAAGTGTAGGCGGGACAAGGAGGAGAATAGAGCTGGGAAGTGGAAGGCTGAGTCAGGGAGACACTGCCAGCCGCCACGATGACAAACAGCATGTGAAGATACCGGTAAGCCACGAGCCATGTGGCAAGGTATAGATTAATGGAAATGGATTAATTTAAGCTGTAAGAACAGTTAGCAAGAAGCCTGCCACGGCCATACAGTTTGTAACCAATATAAGTCTCTGTGTTTACTTGGTTGGGTCTGAGGGGCTGTGGGACTGGCAGGTGATAGAGATTTGTCCTGACTGTGGGCCAGGCAGGAAAACTCTAGCTACAAAGGAGGGCTCTTGTGGTTGCCAATTCAGCCCTTGAAGAACATCCTTCCCTCATTCCTCCTTCCATGTGGAACTGTCATGATCCAGATACAGCCAGCCCTTCACGGCCATTACACTGGGAAACAGACAGCAGTAGGAGTTTCAGAGGGGCCAGAACAAGTCCAGACCGTCACTGGGGCCCATGTTCTGAAGCACTGCTTATGCAAACTGGCCCTTCTTGATTGGTTGCTGGGAAAGGCTGGGAGCAGATACAGTGTCCTCCACAGACCTCAGGTTGTTAGTCTTTCCCCAGGGCCGCTCAGTTGTTTTATTCTTTAAAGTGTTTTGTAATTCCCTTAAACTTGAATGTTTCTTATTCAGAACTAATATTTAGAATTGCTTGAAAAAGACTTCAAAAAATCGTATTTAATTTGAAAAGATGATTCTGAATAAGAAATGTATTGCTGCCATGTGGTGGTGGTGGCCGCGGCGGCACACACCTTAAATCCCAGCAGTAGAGAGGCAGAGGCAGGCAGATCTCTGAGTTGGAGGACAGCCAGGGCTACACAGAGAAACCCCATCCCAGAGAAAGAAAGGAAGAAATGTATTGCTGCAGCCTTTGAGAAATTAACGTGTAATGGCTGCCACCACAGTTTGTCTGTCTTCTCCTTTTGGGGATAGAATTCTTGGGGTCCACCCTTGGTACTCTGTTGCCACCTCTATTTTCTTCCTCATCACCTCTAGTATTTTTCAAGACTTCAGAAACTGGGAAACAAGACCCATGACAGAAATAGGAATGGGGGTTGTTGCTCATTAAGATGTCAGGCTGACTTTTCTTCTTGGGAGAAGTCTCACTATGTATCCCAGGCTAGCCACCAACTCACCCTAAGTGTCAAGACTGCAGCTGTGCACCACCCTATCCTGCCGAGGAACTTGAATTGTTTTTTTGACAAAAGGTTGCCTGTAGGTGTGGCAGTTTCCTTGACCTTGAGGTCCAAGAACAATCAGCCCCGATGTGGGTTTGCAGAAAGAAGCCTGAGGTATTGACCGCTGTCTTGTCTTTCTCCCCTGTTCCTCTTCTGATTTCAGTGGTGCTTCACGCCCCGCCTCCCACCAAGATCAAGCGGGAGCTGCATAGCCCCTCCTCTGAGTTGTCATCCTGTAGCCACGAGCAGGCTCTTGGTGCTAACTATGGAGAAAAGTGCCTCTACAATTACTGGTAAGTGTTGGGGGTGGGGGAACGCAGGGCAGGGCTGGCTGGAGGGTGGGGTGAGAGGGAGCTCAGAAAGGCTCTGGGAGTGAGTTCCAGGTATTATCTAGCATGCCCTGGGGCAGAGCCTGCCTGCCTTGCAGTGTGATCTAGGTGTAGTGTGTTCTACCGGGCCATTATATGCTATGCATGAAAGGCAAAACTTTCATTAAAACATTGTGGCTCCATAGGGAACCAAGACCAGCTAGGGAAAGAGCCTGGAATACTGGGCCATTTGATCTGCGAGACAGGTAATATACGCTTCTTCCTGTCTATCATATGTTAATGTGAACTTTAAGCACCAAGGAAATAATCTTCAAATCAGAATAAACAAAAAAGCCCCCACACTTGTGCCCTTTACTTAAGAATATCCAGGCCCCAGGAATGAGGCTTTAATTTTAATCATTCTTTGCACTCAAAAGGTAAACACAGATCTGCCTGGGACCAGCCAAAGCTTGCTTAATTCAGGTGCTGTTACCTTCCACAAAGGTTTTGACCAATTTCTGGGAGCCCTGGAATATTTCGAAGAGGGGACCAGAGAGAAGGTCCATAAATTCCCAGCCTCACCCATCCACCCTGCACGCGCATACACAGAGAATTCTTTTAGAAGGAGGGAAAAAGGAAACCGGAAGCAGAAGCTAAAATTATCTTTGAGAAAAATCACTAGAAGTGTTAAACAAGTCCTTTGACGCAGAGTATCTGTCACATTTCAGAGGTACAAATATTCCCCCGGGGCTGGAGCAATTTAACTATGTTAATGATGTCATTTCCTGGCAACAATGGGCTGCACACTGGTGTTCTGCTGGACCTGGTTACCATGCAAATGCTTCCCTGCAGCTTAATGGATCCTTGTCTCTTTCTTTTCACAGTGCCTATGCTAGGAAGCATCCCTCTGGGTTCAAGCCATTAACCCCTCCGACCACTCCTTTGTCACCCACCCATCAGAATTCCCTATTTCCCCCACCTCAGGCAACTCTGCCCACCTCAGCTCTTGCCCCTGGAGCCGGCCCAGTTCAAGGGGTGGGTCCTGCCCCCACCCCTCACTCACTTCCAGAACCCGGATCACAGCACCAAACATTTGCGGTCCCCCGGCCACCACATCAGCCCCTGCAAATGCCAAAGATGATTCCTGAAAGCCAGTATCCATCAGAACAGAGGTGGGTACTGCTCTGGACTTTCCTTGATGCCCTCCCTCATGGGTTCTTTTCCTCATCAGGAGAGAAGCCGTTAGTCGTGTTGGCCAGCTACCTATAAAGTTACCGCTCCACTGAGGCGTCAGTGAAGCAGGGCCACTGATAGATACACTGTGGGTATGGGCTGGTTATGTGCCACCCTGTTCCTGGGGTACTCAGAATGGTTTAGAGGATTGCAGCGTCCTTGGGAAGCTTGTCCACCCGCTTCCAGCCATGAAGACGGGTGACTTGTCCAGGATGCACAGTCAGTTGACCTCTCCGCCCACAAGTTTCTGGGCTCCTCAGGAGATAACTGCCTGTGAGAACTGAACTTTAGTTTATGCTCCTTAATTAAATTATTATCATTCTTTTTGCATCCTGGGAAAATTCTTAGTTACAGGAGGCATTATTATTCATCAGATTTTAGCATATTTCTGCAATAAAATGAACTAAGGATGTTACTGATAACATCTGCTTTTGGGGTATAAATTTCTTGGTTTCCCTCTAGGTAGTTTTATATTTCTAACAGTTAAAGCATCAGGGGAAATTGTCTAGAGTTCTTCATTCATCAGCAATAAAGGTAGAAAGGGAACCTGGCTTTCTAAGTTCATTGTCTGGCAGTGCTTCTCAAGCTTCCCAATGCTGCGACCCTTTAATACAGTCCCCCGCAAGCATAAGATTGTTTTTGTTGCTACCTCATACTATAATTGTGCTATTGTTATGAATCGTAATGTAAATATCTGATATGCAATCCCTGTGAAAGGGTCGTTTGATCACCCCCAAGGGGGTCATGACCCACAGGTTGAGGACTGCTGCTCCGTGGGAATCCAGAAATTTAGCTGGTTGTAGACTTATTGCATGTCAGATGTTTTTCATCTATGTTGGATCATGAGATAACATGATAATGATGTATTACCAAGGACTGCAAGATGGAGGCCACTATTCTTCATATCTATCACACTGTGGGGGCATGGGCGCAGAGGAGGGAGGGTGTAGATGGGGTCTTTTCCGAGCCTGGTTCACCCCAGTGTCTATTTGGAGGACACTTTACTGGGTTATGGTTCTGTCCCCGCTTACTCTGACCTGCATGATACAGCTGGTTGACGGTCATTCCCACAGTCAGGCCAAGAGTCCCGAAAAAGCATTTATGCTCTATAGGCCTCCAGGGGTGATCACCAATTTGGCGATGGGGTGAGATGTGTGATGGGGCAGACACACTGGTTCATGAACTTCTGTTGCCACAGAGAGCCCGTCTGAGAGAGAGCAGCCGCCACCAGGCTTCGGGCATCATCATATCATAACCTCATTCTTTTTCAAGAGAATTAGTGTTTTTATGGAAAACGGGTTTTTGGGTCAAAAGTAGGTGGGCTTTTGCCATTTTTATTTTACTGGTTTGGGCGTTGTGTTTTTAAACAGCATCTTACTGATTTCCTGCAGGAGTTATTAGTGGGGCAGGGGGTGTAGTGAATCTTTCGGGGTTTGAAATGCCTAGCAAATGTAGGCAAAGGGAAGGTGCCTTGTGAAATTGTTTGGTTAGCATTTTCAGCCCTCGTTTCTTACCCTGAGCAACGTGAAAGCTCCTATGCGTTGATCACAGAGCTGAGGGAGAAATAGCTCTCCTTGCTCACTGTCGTCTTGTCACGATGGCTGACTGAGAAGCCCGAGTGTCAGTTGTAGAATAGACGCGTCTCCTGGCTGCCCACCCTCGAGAAAGAGGATTTAGATCCCTGGGATTTATGACTGTCTGCCCTCAGGTCCAGAGGGAAAGCACATAGGTATTTCTTTTCCACGATGAGTCTTTTGTGAAGTGGCCTATCTGTCTTGAACTTCCTGCTTTTCACCCTTTGCCTGTAGTTGATGATGGTTCTAAAACAAGTAGCCCTCGTCGAGGTGACAGAGACGTGAGGACACTGGGGTGAAAGGTGAAGTGGTGTGTGGGCTTCTAAAGCGACAGTGGGAGCAGTGCTGGAGTGCTTGGGTCTCCCCTAGCGTGGTGCAGTCCTCAGGCTGAGGGTCTACGGGAGGCCCCAGGAGGGAGGAGGTGGAGATAAAACACAGATTCTAGCAGATTCTTGCCATGACAGCACAGAGTTGGATTCTCAGACTCCCATGTGAAAAAAACCGCAAGGAATGGTGGTCCTCGCTTGTCATCCTCCTGCTGGATGCAAGGACAAGCAGATCCCTCACTAGCCAGCCAGTGTAGCCTGCTAGGTGAGGTCCAGGTCCAGTCAGATACACTGCCTGGGGGGGGGAAGGTGAACAGAACCCGAGGGACACACGAAGTTGACCTTCTTTGTCACCATGTTGTGTGTGTGCACGTGCGTGCAGGCAGGCACACACACAGATTCCTTGCTCCACCCAAGACTGAGTTCATGGATCTTCGGCAAGACTCTCATATGTTACCCTAACAGTTTGATACCGCGTGAAGAATGCTCTCTCCTCTACCTCACCTCAGCCCAGCATGCCTTTGTTAAGTGTAGGGGTTTTTGTTTGTTTGTTTGTTTTTGTTTTTTTGTAGTATATTAAAGGGAGCACAGCTCTGTGACCAAAGTAGAATTTTGTGGTTGTTGCTGCTGCTGTTTTAAGTGAGAAAGCAAAGCATGACATGCCATTTGCTTTGCTTAGGATCCTTGTTGAGTTGCAAGAATCCACTGCAAACTGAGTGACCTCGATGAGATCATTTTGTCCTTGAACCTTGTTCCTCTCTTAAATGTCAGTCCTTGGAGTTCCTGCTTTATCTAGTCTAAGTCCATAGGACAAGATGTCTTTGTTTTGTTCCTGATATGCCTGATCTGTCCAGGTGATGAGTCTGACCTTTTCCATAAACTGCACCTTAATTGTCCCCAGTATGGTTGTTGATAGTGTTGGTCATTTGCTATGGTCATGCTTTAAACAACTAAAATATAATATAGTCAAAGTATATTCTGAATGTTTTGTATAACCTGCTTCTAGAGTTCTTCACAATTCAGTTTATTTTTAGAAGACAATGCTGTATGTGAAAGCTGTGTCTTACATTGGTGATTCCTCTCACATGGCGTGGGAGGGGATCATCATGTATTTGGCGAGCTCCAGCACATCTCCATTTATGCTCCTTGAAGAAGTGTGTTTTTCTTTCAGCGAGGCCAATCTTGGTGGTTATAAGTGCTGAGATGTAGAAGCTGTATTCTATCCACAGCGTGGCTGCATGTGGTTTTTGTCCTTCCTTGTATCATATCTCATGGTATCTCAACTTGAAGAAAGCCTCACAATTTAACTGAAGAGATTTCACTGGGGGAAAAAAAAATGCTCCATCTAAGAATTTTGAGGTAACATGCTATCTCCCGTACTTGACATCAACAACAAGGAAACTCAAGACAAAACTTAAGAAAATGTTCCTATAGTAGGGAAAAAACGAAACCTGCTTTTGAGTAGTGTGAAAGAGCATCCATGTTACGGTGTTCAGTGACCATCTGTAGTACCTAGGCACCAGGAGGTCAGCCATGTGGGGTCTGCACAGCCATGTGGGTCAGTACCTTTTGAAAGAGGAGCGTGCCAGCAGCCTGCTGAGGGCAGTGCCCTGCTGTGTGAGCTGGGTAATCCAGGCCCAAAGCCCGGGTTGAGCTGTTTTCTCAAGTTTTCATTTCATAGAAAACTACGGTGCTTGATAAATTACAAGATTCACTTCCTCTTGGAGTCCATCCCTGACAGACTGCCATTCAGATCTCGTGTGGTTACAGGAAGGGGGTTGACGAGTCACATGTGTTAACAGCCTGGGGTGTAGAATGTGCGTGCCCTCGCCACATGTCTGCCTAACAGCACGTTGTGTATGGCAACATGGGTTCACTTTGGTGACTCAAACCAAGTTTCTTGGATTCTGTTTTTTGTTTTGGGGACAGGGTTTCTCTGTGTAGCCCTGGCTGTCCTGGAACTCACTGCCTGCCTCTACCTCTGGAGTGCTGGGATCAAAGGTGTCCACCACCCGCCGCCCTCAGGCATTTGTTTTGTTGTGCTGTGTTTCTTGGATTCTTAATGAACCCTTCTTTGACAAACTGAGTAATTTTCTTCTGACAGTTGAAGTAGAGGGTGTGCTGACCCTTACAGCTAGTTTCCAGCTTTTTACTGTTTGTTGTGTTTTTTTGTTGTTGTTACCTTTTGTCAAGGTAAAGGAAATTTCCTTCGACCCCTCATGAAAAGTTAACGTCTCTCAGGGTTGAAGTTTGTCAATGCTTCTGTCTCTAGTAAAATGATCCAATTATTTTTCTCCTTTAAAAATGTACATTACAGCCGGGCGGTGGTGGCGCACGCCTTTAATCCCAGCACTCGGGAGGCAGAGCCAGGTGGATCTCTGTGAGTTCGAGGCCAGCCTGGGCTACCAAGTGAGTTCCAGAAAAGGCGCAAAGCTACACAGAGAAACCCTGTCTCAAAAAAACAAAAAACAAAAACAAAAAAAATGTACATTACGGGCGGTGGTGGCGCACGCCTTTAATCCCAGCACTCAGGAGGCAGAGCCAGGCGGATCTCTGTGAGTTTGAGGCCAGCCTGGGCTACCAAGTGAGTTCCAGGAAAAGGCACAAAGCTACACAGAGAAACCCTGTCTCGAAAAACCAAAAAAAAAAAAAAAAAAAAATGTACATTACACTGATTTTATGAAACCATCCTTGCACTCTGTGACAAACCCAGTTTCTCTTATTTCTTTTTTTACTTTTTTTTTTTTTCTTTTTTTTTTTTTGGTTTTTCGAGACAGGGTTTCTCTGTGTAGCTTTGCGCCTTTCCTGGAACTCACTTGGTAGTCCAGGCTGGCCTCGAACTCACAGAGATCCACCTGGCTCTGCCTCCCGAGTGCTGGGATTAAAGGCGTGCGCCACCACCGCCCGGCTCTTTTTTTACTTTTTTTAATGTTTGTATTTCTGTGCTTGTGTGACACAGCATGTATATGGAGGTCAGATGCCAACTTGCAAGGGTCAGTTGGCTCCTTCCAGAGGTAGAGTGGGTTCCAAGGATCGACT